GACCACAGCAACAGGATCAGCCTCGACTCAGGATCCCGGCGTAGATATAGATACAAAAAAGAGATTTGGGGGAAACTGGGTTAATCGGAACATGAGAGTACACAGGTACAAACAGCCAGAAAGACGGAGTAAGGTGCCCCCCCCCAACAGTCCAAGCCTATAGCAGCTAAACTAACGTGTCTACATACATGCACTCCCTTAGGATAGGTTGAGGGGAAGGTAGCAAGTAAGAAGTAGGAAACAGAGGTGGAGAGGCACGCGGGGAGAGAGGTCCCCACTGGAACCTGAATTGGTTAGAGGTAAGGAGTAGGTCAGTGACTACGTTCCACAGTCCCCGGCCGGGCTGTGTCTTTATGCTGCTGCAACACAAACGTTTCCCAACTTGGGATCAATACAGTATTTCTTATCTTATCTGTTATATGGAAAACTACAGTGTATTTGTTTGTAAAGTGGAGGGCTGTGCAGAAAGGTGCAGAAAGCAGTCGGAGTGGAGCAAGAACTTGGATCACAGTATTAAGAAAGAAAAAAGAACTATGTTGTTGACATGATTAATGTAATGCATCATCTATCTGTGTTTTACATTTAGCTTGACTTCCATATGCACCTACGGTTCTGATTGTGATTGTTGATGAGGCCGGTATTAATAATAGCTTAGATTGATATAGCGCCTTTCATGGTCGCTTTGCAGAGACAAACAGGAGAACAAACGAAAACAAAAGTCAGACAAACAAAACAACAAATAAATTAGGGGCCGAAGGAAGCAGAGGAAGATTTCTCTAACAACCAACCAGAGCAGAAGTTCTGACCCTCTGATCCTCTGATCCTCTGACAGCTGTTCTGAGTTTGAGATCGCACTCATTGTAAGTGGCTTTGGATGTAATGTGATCTACGCCCTCATGACTCAGAGCTGCAGTGATGAGGAGGAGGAGGAGGAGGAGGAGGAGGAGATTTTTGGGCTGAGGTGTGGTTGTCCCTGCAGACCGGAGGCATGTCCAGAAACACACCAGCAGTTCATTTATATTTTATATGCATTTGTTTATTTGGCAGGGTCATTGCACATCACTTAAAACATGAAATGTGCCAAGTGTAAATATGCCTTTCCATCCGCAGTCCCTCACATAAAACTTTAAAGGTCCCATGTCGTGCTTTTCTGGTTCTGACCCGTCCCCTTGTGTTCTGTAGCTTCTGCATGTAACCGGTCTGCAGAGTCACAAACCCTCAAAGTGCACCCTGTAGCGAGTAAACCTCTAACACAGAGAAGACCTGTCTGCTGCTCCAGAACGCCTCGTTGGACATTTCTCTTTTTCCATTGTTTTCTTCCGGGGCCTCTTGACGTCACTAAGTCCAAATGGACCAATTTGCACACAGCTATAGAACAATAGGCACTCCCTCTGTCAGGGCGGACTCCCGGAGCCGACAGTGTGAGGTGGATTTCCCGCTGTGTTTCCCTGGATGCTGGATATAGACCAAGTGCCATGCCAGCAGACACCGCGGAGTTCAGACTGAGCTCCGCGGTGTCTCGCAGCAACCAGGAAACCACACCAGTAATCCAGCTCACACTGTCCGCTCCTCGAGCCTCAAAGGGCGGAGCAGCGAGCCCCGCAACGTCCCCCCAACACGGCACCCAGACCCCACGCAGCAATCTCATCTGTTGGTCATTACTGGTGTCACTTCCTGGTTGCTAACAAACGCCATTGTAAAACATAATCACTGATGTTCAGCTGTAACGGGGGTGGACTCATCAGAACAGAGCGGGCGAGCTGACCAAGAATGTATTTTTTATATAATTCAAGTACATTTTTTAAGTTATCCAAGGCGTTGAAAGACGTCACCTTTCTCTCTAAGAAACTGGGACATTTTTCATTATTTCTTTACATCTCATACGCCACAGTTTCACCAAGAACCTTCCAAATAAGTACTTTTTAAAAAAAAATACATCTGTTTCTGTTCTGGTGTCGGGTCACGCCGACATTTATTTATCTGGATTCACCTCAGCCGACCACTGAGCTGTTTTTAACTGCGTTCACCGTGTGTGTGTGAAGAGCATTGTGACACTTGTGTGTGAAATACTCTCCACACACACACACACACACACACACACACACACACACACACGAATATTCAAACACACACACACACACACGAATATTCAAACACACACACACACACACACACACACGAATATTCAAACACACACACACACACACGAATATTCAAACACACACACACACACACACACACACACAAACACACAGACATGAATATTCAAACACACACAGACAGCCTATTTCTGGCATGTGGTAAACAGTCAGAAACTCTTTTGACCATCTACACACACACACACACACACACACACACACACACACACACACACACGAATATTCAAACACACACACACACGAATATTCAAACACACACACACACACACACACACACGAATATTCAAACACACACACACACACACACACGAATATTCAAACACACACACACACACACACACACACACACAAACACACAGACATGAATATTCAAACACACACAGACAGCCTATTTCTGGCATGTGGTAAACAGTCAGAAACTCTTTTGACCATCTACACACACACACACACACACACACACACACACACACACCACACACACACACACACACACACACACACACCCCCTCAGGGAATACGGCAGTGTTTTTTTTTCTGCTTTAAAAAGGCGGGCTCTTTGTTCTGCAGGAAGTCAGCAGGTTAGCTCGGGTCAGATCTGTAAAAACAAATCTGTGTCCAGAGTCCGCCCTACACTACAGAGGTGTGTGTGTGTGTGCGCCAGAACGGCATTTATATCTTAAATATAACCTAATGTGGCCATATATGGACTTTGTTCTAAATACAAACTTGTTTTTTAACATACAGAATACATAAGGAAAGATAAACAAACATGCCTTATCGTTTGCCTTAAATCCAAGAGCATTTTCTCACGTGAAAGAAATTAAATAAATGTCTATTAAATAATTGTTTTGATTATTCAACTAAGGCTGCAGCAACATGGGGACGATAACGGGCGTATCTGCTACAGTTCACTATCAGATAGACCAGTGGTTCCCGACCTGGGGGGCGAGCCAAAGATCGCAGGGGGGGGGGGCCTCAGATGATTTGAGGCCAAATATCATATTTAGACTTTTTTTTTGTTTAAAACAAATTCAAGTTAGTATTAAAGGCATAAAAAGACAGAAATGTATAATTCTTTCTATAGAAATGTTTCTTCTGCCCGTCATTGTCCATGCCGGTTTCAGTTGGATGATTTGTCACAGTTTCTCCGATCAGATCGGTCTCCTCCATTTTGTAGATTATTTACGACTTTTGAATCCACATCGGCAAAATCCGGCTTACTTTGAGCACGTGTTTTAAACTGTTTAATCACTTTGTGAATTGTTTCCACTTCCGCCGTCCTTTAATTTATTCATACAGCAGGGAATCCAAATGAATTCATCCTGAGTCCAATAACCATCAAAGTCACTCCAATAGTGCTCCTTGATTACGCTTTCATCCTCCTTTCACAACATACTTCACATTCATCCAGTTTGTGACACTAGTTGTAGCTTTTTGAGACTTTTAAACTTGAATTACCGCTGTTGCCCCCCCCCCCCCCCCCCCCCCCCTAGTGTGTGTGTGGGGGGGGGGGCGCAACTTCCAACAGGAGTCATTTGGGGGGGCCCTTGGGAAAAAAGGTTGGGAACCCCTGAGATAGACGGTTCGGCCACACGAGGCCAACATGGAAACGCAGCAAACGATAACGGGTCGTTAGGTGGGTAGACCTGCGGACGAAACGCTCTGGGGGCCAAACGGCTCCGTGTTTACGCCTATACGATCATGTCCTGATAACGATGACGCAATAGCCCCAGTGTTTGGAGCCAGGTCCCGGTGTCTCGCAGGACAGTGAGCGCACCCAGCAGGAGCTTCCAGCTAGATTTGATCGATATGGACACAAACGTGAGAGAAGTCTAATCGGACAGGAGAGGAGACACGCAGCTCTGCATGATCACCTGCAGCTCCGCCCGCTGTGACGAGCGATGAGCGGAACAAAACACCCACTTCAAGTTAGATCATCACCCGTAGCTATTTTAATGACCTCTCAAACTAAACTAGTTATAAATATGTTTATTTTGACTGTCGGGTCACTCATTACTAGATCAGCTGCTGCATGAGACCACGGATACTGACGGGCCGTCAGGAGAGGGGGAGGAAAAGAGAGGCTCCGTCCTCCGTGTATTATTCTTATATTCTTATAGAGTCGTTATTCATTTGTTTTAAAGCTCAATAAATAACAAAGAAGACCTTTGGCCGGCACTTTTCAAATTTTGTCCGGAAGATTTAAACTTTAACGGACATGTTGACCGACGAAACCCCACCGCTGCTGCTAAATCCAGCGCGGAGAATAAACAGAAGGGCAACCATGCATGCGCGAGAAGTCTTCTTCGCTGCTTTTGGTGTATTTTGTGGCAGTAGTACAGCGCCACCTATAGGCCCGGCATATGTACTACAGCGTCTCCAGCGCTTTCGAGCGGTCTCGTGTGAGCGGACACGTTTCTGGTGCCTGTTGCGTGTGGACGGAAAACTTTTTTGAAAACGATTTCGGTCCGTTTGCGTTATCGTCCTCGTGTGGCTCCAGCCTAATACATTACATTTATAAAAATACATCCTATAAGGAGGGCTAATAATCAAATATTAAAACACTTGCATATTTGATTTTAAAGCTAATTTCAATACAGAGACGATGACAAATGGGAAAAGTAAACAATGAACAAATTGTGGTACGTTTCATTATGGCTTATGTGTGTGCATCATGAGGTACTTTGTGCATATCACCTAACCCTCAGGATATTTGACACTGATTGGCTGATTGATCGGTGCATCTTCAATACATATTTTGAAATCTCTCATACCTACTAAATAAACCTCGTAAAATAATCTCAATACAAACTCTAATGTCTTCTTTCTCTTCTCTTTCAGGAAACTGAGATTGCAGCCGAATGCAACCATGTAAGTGTCTGCACCGCATACAACTCCATCTCCCAGCATGCACCATGTTGTCCTATTACTCCATGTTAAGCAAAAAAAAATAAGCACAACATTTTGAGATCTGCAGAAGTATTTTCAGATCAATGGATTTAACAAAAACACTCCCAGTCTCAGGCTCACTTACTGGTTTTATATCAGTTCACTGTAAATCATTATCGTCTGTTTGTGTAGTCCATTTACTAGCTTCTCCTTAACTCTAGGTGTTGACATGCTAAATGCTAACAGCAAGTTAAACTACTAGCATACAGATCCATATACTTGCTTTTATATTCAGACTGTGTATAAATATATGTTATTCTGATATTTTGTTTACCTCCTCCAGCTGCTGTGGAACTACAAGCTGAATCTGACCACCGACCCAAAGTTTGAGTCTGTCGCTGTGGAGGTTTGCAAGACCACCATCACTGAGGTGAGACGCTAAAAACACAACATAGTTTAATAGGGATGGGTACCGAGCCCCGGTGCTGAATTATTAAAGACCGTGGTACTGTTAAGCTCCGACGTTATCGGTCTTTTTATCGGTACTGGAGACCTCTAAAATATGTCATCTGTGTTATTGCTACATAAACATTATATTGCAGTTTTAGTTTCGCCAACTCCGTTTCTAATACGCAAAAAGACTACAAATGGTAAATGGTAATGGACTGTACTTATATAGCGCTTTATCCAGTCTTTACGACCCCTCAAAGCGCTTTACATACTACATGTCATTCACCCATTCACACCCATTCATACAGAGCAGTACCACTTGCTCTAGGACCTAACATTCACACACATTCACACACCGTTGGCCATGCCATCGGGAGCAACTCAGGGTTAAGTATCTTGCCCAAGGATACATCGACATGTTGACTGCACGGGCTGGGATCGAACCCACAACCTTCTGGTTGAAAGACGACCGCAATCCCTCGCAGCCACAGTCGCCCAAAATGCGTCTATGATGTATTTTCGATCTTTCCAATCCAGACGAGAGATCTTTCTCCCCCGTCTGTGTGCGAGGGGGCGTGGCGGTTTACACACACACTCTGCTACATGCATGCAACACACACACACACGTTCTGCTACATGCAGCAACACACACACACACACGGAGGAGATGGCAGAGAGAACGCGCTCCGAGGTGTGGTTAAACTTTACCCGTCTCGATGCTCGTTGCCAAAAGTGCAATAAGAGTTTAGCATGTGAGGGCGGTAACACAATTTGTCTAAACATTTATCAAAAATGCTCCACATCCAGACGGAGGAATGCACCGGGTTCCACCGTCTTTCTAGCAGCTCTGTAGCTCCATCCACGAGTAACGTTTCCACGTCAGGTGTTATGTATGCTAGCAGCAACACACGGAGTTAACTACATTATACAAACATGGGTTAATGATTAGAGGAAACTGAGTTATTTATTTTGTTAAAGTTTCAGCTATTCTGTCATCACATTATTTAATACGATTTGTTAAAACATTGTTGTTTCTTTTGTTGTGAAATAATATTTAATTAATTAAAATAAAAAGCTTTGTTAGTTTTGTTCACAATTTGTTTAGTTAGTTTACCTTTTCTTTCTCCAAAGGAACCGATAAGAGTATCCGTTGAAAGACCGGACCGATAAGCGGTATCGATAAAAGTAGTAGTACCGTTAGAACCTTAACGATACCCATCCCTAGTTAGACATTTCAAAATCCAGGCAAGATGTCACTTCCTGTGCCGGTTGAAGATAGAGAGAATTGTATGTTTGCTTGTTTCGTTTGCAAATCAAAGGTCAGACAATGTTTTCCCTCGCTGTACTTTTTTGAATTACTACGGCCGCAACAATGCTCTGTGTTGCTCTTCCCTCAGATTAAGGAGTGTGCATCGGAGCAGCTGGGTAAAGGTTTCCTGGTTTCCTGTCTGGTGGATCACCGTGGCAACATCACAGACTACCAGTGCAACCAGTACATCACCAAGATGACCACCATCGTGTTCAGCGACTACCGGCTCATCTGCGGCTTCATGGACAAATGTCGAGAAGACATCAACACTCTTCACTGCGGAAGCATCAGCACTGGAGACAAGGTGAGAGGCTGGGAAGATACAAATATAACTGGGTCTAAAGTGGTGCTAAGATAACAGATTTATGTGTTGGACCCTGAAGGCAGCATCTCCCTGGTTCAATGGGATTTTTCCATGTGATTTTGGGCTGTGTAGGATATTAATCTCCGTGTCAAACAAACGTTTATGATACTTAAAGTTCAGCAGGATAATCTCCAGATATTAACACCACTTTATTATTTCTGAAGTAAAAAGCTAACGTTAGGCTATAAAGAAACTACAGCACGGTCACATGACTTCACGTCACCACCGCTAAGCTAAAGGTGGCTAATGTTGGGCTATAAAGGAACTACAGCACGGTCACATGACTTCATGTCACCACCGCTAAGCTAAAGGCGGCTAATGTTGGGCTATAAAGGAACTACAGCACGGTCACATGACTTCACGTTACCACCGCTAAGCTAAAGGTGGCTAATGTTGGGCTATAAAGGAACTACAGCACGGTCACATGACTTCACGTTACCACCGCTAAGCTAAAGGTGGCTAATGTTGGGCTATAAAGGAACTACAGCACGGTCACATGACTTCACGTCACCACCGCTAAGCTAAAGGCGGCTAATGTTGGGCTATAAAGGAACTACAGCACGGTCACATGACTTCACGTCACCACCGCTAAGCTAAAGGTGGCTAATGTTGGGCTATAAAGGAACTACAGCACGGTCACATGACTTCACCTCACCACCGCTAAGCTAAAGGCGGCTAATGTTGGGCTATAAAGGAACTACAGCACGGTCACATGACTTCACGTCTCCACCTTTAAGCTAAAGGAGGCTAATGTTGGGCTATTAAGCAACTACAGCACGGTCACATGACTTCACGTCACCACCGCTAAGCTAAAGGTGGCTAATGTTGGGCTATAAGGAACTACAGCACGGTCACATGACTTCACCTCACCACCGCTAAGCTAAAGGCGGCTAATGTTGGGCTATAAATGAACTACAGCACGGTCACATGACTTCACGTAAAGTAAATGTTAGTTATCTTAAATGAGTGTCTTTTGGTTCTCTAGAGAAATGTTGTGAGATGTGCTTCATCATGCGGTTAATATGTGTTGAAACATGTTGGGGAAACAAGTCAGAGAAGAAGAAGCTGAGTCATCTGACACATCACTGCTATTCTGCAGAACACATGGGGCTAAAGATGCAATACTTTAACAAACAGTTAAATATTTAAGTATCAATCCATACTGAAAAAACCCCAAAGTAAAATACAAAATAAAATCCTGAGAAAGTGTCTTTTCTGTTAGCGTGGGAGTCCATTTCCTCCCGCTGCTGAGACAAACTGTTCCTCGTAAGCCTGTTAGACATGCGCTTATTATGGGATATCCAGTGCTGGAATTGGGCCGGTACTCACCGGTACGCAGTACCGGCACTTCTGGTTCTGACCCATGGAGTACCGGCACTTCTTGCTCAGTACCGGCATGCTGGCGGTACTCCGGTACTCATGCACCGTGCCAGTACTCAACACTCTCCCGCCGTTCTTATTATACATCCATATATATATATATATATATACAGCCGCCCGGTACTCAGTAGATGCGTCATGAGGTGCCGAACGGACATTCTCATCGCTCTAACCGCTGGAGTTTCACAGCGGCTGTCAGCTGTTTACTCCTGTCATTCAAACAGAACGTGCTGGAGAAGGGGCGGGGCTTATCTTCTCCATGTAAATACTGTGGTGGAAACGACTATGTCAAAATTAACCTATTTGACCGTGATTTAATAGTAATACACGTTTCAAAATAATAATAATAATAATAATGCCGAAGTAACAACATACTGAAAACTGTTAGTAAAACCATGTTTTAATGCTTTACAATTTACATACCTAGATGCACGTGTGTTGTGTTTATGCAGTGCAACTCCCACCCAGTGGGTGGCTATGTAGAGTGATAGAACAGAGCAGGCACGCCCCCGAGAGAAGGAAAGCAAGTCACGTCACAAATTAGCATTTCTAAAATGTTAGCGTGGATTAATAAAAGTGCAAAAAGACAGCGGTTGTCGCCGGAAGAAACTTCAAATACAGAGAATGCTGTGCCTGTGTTGGAAATTGTGTCTGATGGGGAGCTTTCTTTGGTTGATCCTCCTGCTCCAAGTTCTAGTGCATTAGCATTAGCACTAGCTCCGCCGCCTCCTCCAGAGCCTCTAACGTTAGCTGCTGCTGGCGCAACTGCCACCACCAACACCGGGCAAAGCGATGCACCTGACTGCTGGACAACGGACCAGGTGCAATATTTTTGCAAGACCAATGCATGGCTCCTTCTTAAAGATAAGAAGCTAGGATGTCGGATATGCAGAGATGTCAAATCTTTGGGAATACACACTGGACAAGGACTGAAACTGTCAACTGAATGGGGTGAGTGTGCAGTGTCTCATTTCGGTGTTGACAAGGGCAAACAACAAGCTAGCCTGAGAAAAAAAATCAAAGAACATAAAGAATCACAAGCCCATGTAAAAGCTGCTGACATCCTTACATCTGCTTCACGTGAAACTATTCAACATCAAGTGCAGTCTATGCATAAATCTGAATTAGACACCACTATCAGAGTTTTTCGAACGGCATATAAAATTGGCAAACATAGCCGGCCATTCACAGACATGCCAATTGATTTGAATGTACAGAAACTGAATGGGCTGAACGTGGGCAGGGTTTTGCACTCCAATAAAACCTGTGGCGAAATCATCGACCACATAGCTCATGAGCTGAAGAAAAAAATGGCAAAAGACATTACAGAAAACCAAAGAAAACTCTGTGTTTTGGTCGATGAATCTACCACTATTAGTGGTAAAACGGTGCTTGTTGTGTGTCTACGCTCAGCATTAGCTGATGCTGAGCCCGAAACGTTTTTTTGGGAGCTGATCGAGTTGGATGGAACAACGGCTGATGACATCACAAAGGCGTTAATGGAGTGTCTTGGAAGAGATTTTAACGAGGACTTTTTAGGTCAGTGTTTCGTTTCTTTTGCATGTGATGGGGCTTCAGTCATGCTAGGGAAGAGAACAGGCGTTGCTACCCAGTTGTGTAGTAAATTCCCAAGCCTGTTTGTGTGGCACTGCTCCAATCATCGTCTAGAGCTGGCAGTTGGGGATGTGGTCAAGGAGGTCTCAGGGCTCAATCATTTCCAGATCTTTTTTGACAAACTCTATTCCTTGTTCCATGCCTCCCCCAGAAATCAGAGGCAGTTAGCGCAGTGTGCGCAAGCAGTCGGACAGCGTCTCCTGGTGATAGGGCGTGTTTTGTCCATCCGCTGGGTGGCTTCAAGTGAAAGGAGCGTCAGAGCAGTCTGGGAAAACTACCGAGTGCTTCATGATCACTTCACAAATGCTGCAAACGACACGAGCAGGGATTCCAGAGACAGAGCAAAGTACAAGGGCCTGGATGATGTGCTTACATCTGCAACGTTTGTCAGCAATCTGGGACTGATGTACGATGCGCTCACAGAGCTCAGCGACCTCTCTCGGCAACTCCAAAAAAGAGAGATGACATTGCCTACAGCAGATAGGCTCTTAACTCCAGAAATACGAGTTTTTGAATCCATGGTCACCATGCCTGGCCCACACATGACTACAGTTCATACAGCTCTAGCTGAGAAGTCCTTCAAGGGTGTTGCCCTGCGTGAGAATGGCAGGCTTGTACAGATTCATGCAGGACAGTTTTTCCGCAGTATGGTAGAGAATCTGAGACACAGAATGACTTCCACAACCTCCTCTCATGTCAGCACAAGAGAAATCCCATTACATGGCCGGGAGGCCCGGGACAATCAGCTAATCCAGGACATGAAAGTTATCCATCCTGGAAGTTGGCCTGAAGAGGAGTTAGACGTACAGTATGGGGACGTAGAGGTGCTACGTTTGTGCGAAGTGCTGAAAGTGGACAGAAGAGAGACTGTTCAGGGCTTTCGCGAATACAAGGAAACCAGGGCATCCCGTACACCTGCTGCCATGGAGCCTCTACTGAAAGCAGTCCGAACCATCGTTGTCTCCACTAGTGAGTGTGAGCGGGCATTCAGCTGCATGAACGATATCCTTACTGCAAAAAGGAATGCTCTCTCTGTCAGCCGACTGTCCAGCCTGGTTTTCATTAAATGTAATGGACCATCACTAGGACAGTTCAATCCGGAACAGTATGTGAGGTCCTGGCTGGCAAAGGGAAGGAGAAGTGCTGATGAAAGAGCCTGTCCAGCTCCAGCCCCTGATACTGATGTCCCCAAGGCCTTCTGGAGCCTTTTCTAACAATGTGAAGTATATTGCAAAGCAGCTCACCCAGTGAGAAGACTTTTGGCATAATGTGCCGATTTGTACAGATCCTGGAGATAGAAGGACTTCAGACCAACCAGGGAGTTATCTGATCAGCTTGGTGTTCAATGTAACTCTTTACCATGGCTCAGACTTTGTTACTTGCAGTTACAGTTTCTCATTTTAGATTGTGCAAATTTTGCATTTGTTTTTACATGTTCTTTGTTCATGCTCTTTATCATTTTTCTGAGTTGGAAAGTTAGATTGCATCATAGCTAACTTTATACATATTTGTATTCTTCAGTGGTGAAGTATATTGCAAAGCAGCTCAGCCATGTGAGAAGACTTTTGGCACTTTTTCGTTTTTCGTTTTCTGAGTTGGAAAGTTAGATTGCATTCAAAATGTACAGAAATACTTAATTTTGTTAAAGCTTTTTATAAAAAATGCTTCTGACCAGAGCTTTGTTTCCTTGTCATTAATGTTGAACACCACCAGAGGGGCTCTCACCTGAAAGGTCTCTGCTTCATGTGTCTTCAGCAGAAGATCTAGACTTTGATTGCTATATTTTCAGTTAATATTGACCTTACTGAGCTTTAGCCATATCCGCTGCCTATCATAAAAAATGTTAAGTACAGTGAACCTTTCTAAAATATACAGTAGTAAAGAGACAAACCCACCAGCATTATAGTAGCCAAATTCTTGTTTGTGGGCTGTATATATAAAATTGACTTGAAAAAGTTGCTGATTTTAGAGTACTGGCACCTTTTTCATTCCAATTCAAGCACTGGGGATATCATAATTAAAACTGGGAGCAAATGATTAATTCGGCTAGGGTGCTAGCGAACTGTCAACTGGGGGGAGCCTCGCTGCGGGGAAATGGCGGACCTCTGTCGGTGCAACTTCAATGATGTCTTTTTAAAAACATAAAAAATGAATGGCGGTGACGGCCGTTAGCGAATCGAGCCGGCCCTTGACGACCGGCCGTTCTGTGATTCTCCAGATTCTACAGATGGCCAGTGGCGGAGGGTGGAAAATACATACCGGAAGTAAAAAAAGACGGGACGGTGTTACGGGAAACAAAACTTAAAATATTAAATGAAACAATCTCATCTCTTAAAATTCACAACTTATTATGTATTCACATTCACAAACTTATTATGTATTCACATGTTTAACTCTGTTACATGTGCACGCAATGAACAGAAGAGCGTAGGGCAGAATCAGGAGGGAATTCCGTCTCGCAGCGTTTGTGCACTGTTTTGAAATGCCGCTCCTAAATTACCCTTCTTCGATAAAGCCACGCTCGCATTGCAGATGAGACAGATGGACTTTGAATTGGAATAGATACAAAAATAATCATCCTCCCACTCGGAGTGAAAATTATATATGTTTTGCTTCTGCCATAATTGCGGTCTTGTGTGTGTGCGGAAGGTCACTCCTGTTGCCACGGACAACGTCAGCAAACTAGTGCCCACTGCCCACCAGCCACGCCCCCACACATGGGGTCACGCCAATCACAAAGCTTTGATGCGTTCAAGTGCATTATTCTGGCACAGGAAGATTATGTTACAGAACATTAACGATACAACTTTTATTTTTAGACACATCTCGCGATCGACCCGGGCACCCCTGCTCTAATGGGAGCTATAAAACTGTCATTTTGCAAACTGGGAACATTTCGGCTAACTGTTCAAGTTGATGTTGACGATTGAGTCTTCTCTACATGTGTCCCACTGATTCTTGAGCGATAAGACATAAATAGGCATGTGTGTATGTAAAGCCTGCTAAAAGTCATAATAAACATTCCCAGTGTTGCTACAGTAAATCAACTTGATCCTTGTTTCAAACTATGCCGCGCTGGGTCCTTGAATCTGATGTTTAGTGTGAAATACGTCAAAATGCTGAAAATGCAGGCGTTGACAAAACGTTCAGATGTCTGTTATTTGGCTTCTTTAACTATTCTCCCTATCAATATCAAGGCCTAATCTTCCCTAAGCCATAACATAACATGAGGAAGCTCTTCTTGGGTTCAACAGTAGTGCAGATAAAGGCGGTTGCTCCTGTTTTAGAGGCGATATTAAAAAGAGATTAAATTCCCAGGAGCATAACTGTCCTCGTTAACCATTCACCACTTAATCTCGGCAATAACATACAGGCGGAAAAAACACATATTTCCTATAGTTCCCTTTCCTATAGTGTGTTATATAGACCCTCCAGAAAAACGCGGGCAAAAATCCTTGATTATGCAATTAAACATGCGGGGTTTGTATGTGATTTTATGCGGTGAAATTGCGAGAAGTTGTGAAATATGCGTAAAGAATTTAAAAAATCTGCGCCATTTTGCTGATTATGCGGTAAATTATGCGATCGCATAATCGCGTTTTTCTGGAGGGTCTAGTTATATAGGTTTTAATGTAAATGGCTGCAAAGGCTAACATTCCTGTGTTCCCTCTCCCAAAGGCCTCCATTGGACTCCTTTGTTTACTTCCGTTAATAGTGACATCACTATGGAACACTCGCTCCTATTGGCTAGCGCTCTTTACACATTAGCCGCTTTCACACCAAGTACTTAGCCGGTACTTGTCCCCGGTACTTAGTCCCCCCGAACTCTTTAGTCCCTGGAACTATCTAGTTAATCGCGTTCTCACCGGAGTACTTTTCCCTGAGGGAGGGTTACGCAAATGAAGTCGCTGACATCACTTCTTCTTCTTCTTCTGCTTTGGGTTTACTGGCAGGCCGCAAACAACTTCACGGCGTATACTGCCACCCGAAGTCCCCGGCCGGAAGTCCCCGGAGTTGGTCACTGGCTTCAGTCAAATAAAATGGAGGCTTCACAAAACTTTTCAGAGTTTTACGGGCCGTGGTTTGCAATTCGCCCAGCCAATATAAATTGTTAGCGTGGCCGACACACCCACAAACCATTTCCTCCTCAGCAAAGTACCACCTCTCTAGCAGGGACTATCTGGGGGTGAAAAGGTTTGCGCGAACTAGGGACTAGTTCCAGATCCTTTTTGGTGTGAAACCAAATCTCCCCCCCCCCCATCGGCCTAGTTCGGGGGGAAAAGTACTCCGGTGTGAAAGCGCCTATTGTACGTGATAGGCTAAGGGGCGGGACATCTGTAAGCGGTTGAAAGATTAGCTGTACATCTAAAACAAACAAACAAACATGGATAGCTTTATAACCTGGATAAAAACGTGTGTCACTCATGAAGGCTGCCTCTCTCCTGTTTCAGTTGGTAATAATTGGATTTAAAACAAGTGATTGATTTGAAGCTACACACAGTTAAAACTAAAGAATGGTGTTTAACCCTCTGGAGTTGACGCTGGTGCCATAAAAAAGTTTTCCGCACTCTCGCGGGAATATCTCCCCAACGGAACGAGCTTAAGTTTCACTTTCGATTGCACGATAAAGCCCAGTGCCGCACCTTCGTCACAGGTGTTGCCGCTTGTCTGTACCATTTTCAGGCGATTTGTAATCTGTTCTAGAAAAACGATTGTGCAGCACAGGGTTCGTGTTTTAATAGCATTTTTACAAAAAAAGCCCAGACGAGCCTCATTTTAACGTTGTGGCCTTTGACCCTCCCTCAGGACGTCCACTCTCAGGGCGAGGTGATCGCTTGTCTGGAGAAAGGTTTGGTCCGGGAGGCGGAGGAGCAGCCGGGGGCTCATCCAATCAAAGAGGAGTGCAAGAAGTCCATCATGAGGGTCGCAGAACTCAGCTCCGACGACTTCCACCTCGACAGATACCTGTACTTCTCCTGCCGAGAGGACCGCGAGCGCTTCTGTGAAAAGGTGAGGACTTACCTGACGACACAGGAAACGTCTTTTATAGAGTAACGGATGATTTTAAATGCATCCAGATGTATTACTTTAAAATAATAGCTGATAATGTATGCAAGAAAGTGCTTTTTAAGTCCTCTTGCTTTCCTATTAACACTAATGTCATTTATTTTCATACCGTTTTAGATAGCAACTTTTTGGGGTTTTGAAATATATTTGTCATTTTTGAAATCCTGCAGAAACCCTTAAAATGTGAAGTTGTAAGTCATCCTTTTTAGAGTTATCTAGAGTTATGGCTTTTGGTTTTCTTTCTTAAGTCGATGGTTAATTAATATTTATCTCTCTTTTCAGACGCTGGCCGGAGAGGGACGGGTTTACAAATGTCTCTTTAATCACACGTTTGAGGAGGCGATGTCTGAGAAGGTGAGTGCTGGAGATTGATTCACAAATACTTTACAAAGAAATTACTAGATTCATACATTCACTTTTAGAAGGGGCAATTATATATTAAAATTAATTAATTTCAACGTCAAGTTTTCCTGGAGATTTCTAAGTTCAATTATAAAAATGTACCTGAAATTGACCGAACCTGAAACCCTTAAAATGCGTCCCACTTGGAGTATAAATATAAAAAGACTCCCCCACCCTGTATTTGACCCTCTGTGTGTCCTCAGTGCCGCGAGGCCCTCACCACCCGGCAGAAACTCATCGCTCAGGACTACAATGTGAGCTACTCGCTGGCCAAAGCCTGCAAATCAGACCTGAGGAAATACCACTGCAGCGCCGACAGCAACGTGCCGAGAGCCAGAGAGGCGAGGCTGAGCTACCTGCTGCTCTGCCTGGAGTCCGCCGTGCACAGAGGTACCAAACACCTGCGTTTACTACCATTAACCTCAGATTTTAAGAATAAGTTTACTTTTCTTTATTTATTAAATAAATTAGGTCAAAAAATATATCTAAATTGTGGGGGAAACTTCTGTAGCAATTGGGAGTCAGGACTCAAAGAGACACGAGGAGAGCTGGAGCTTTGATGGCAAACACTGACGGTTTATTTGGAGCTTCGGCCGGAGAATTCACAAGACAGGTGGTGTGTCACGGGTTGACCACACGGTATGCCAACTCTTCTGTAGCTCCAGGTTTTAACTAGTTGAGAGTGTAATAATCAACATTCTTTATCAGCGAGACTAAACAAATATGGACCCTGAATCGAACTGGAGCTGTCGTCCATAGAATGTGCGCCAGGGAACCTACGTCCCTGAACAGTAAACTACCTCATGGCGGCTTGTGCTCGTCATAAGCTGCAACAACAATGCGCCCAAGCTGCTCCTCCTTCAGAGAGATAGCAGCGATACCCAAGCTGCTCCTCCTTCAGAGAGATAGCAGCGATACCCAAGCTGCCCCTCCTTAAGAGAGATAGCAGCGATACCCAAGCTGCCCCTCCTTAAGAGAGATAGCAGCAATACCCAAGCTGCTCCTCCTTCAGAGAGATAGCAGCGATACCCAAGCTGCCCCTCCTTAAGAGAGATAGCAGCAATACCCAAGCTGCCCCTCCTTAAGAGAGATAGCAGCAATACCCAAGCTGCTCCTCCTTAAGAGAGATAGCAGCAATACCCAAGCTGCTCCTCCTTAAGAGAGATAGCAGCGATACCCAAGCTGCCCCTCCTTAAGAGAGATAGCAGCGATACCCAAGCTGCTCCTCCTTAAGAGAGATAGCAGCAATACCCAAGCTGCTCCTCCTTCAGAGAGATAGCAGCGATACCCAAGCTGCCCCTCCTTAAGAGAGATAGCAGCGATACCCAAGCTGCCCCTCCTTCAGAGAGATAGCAGCAATACCCAAGCTGCCCCTCCTTAAGAGAGATAGCAGCGATACCCAAGCTGCCCCTCCTTAAGAGAGATAGCCGCAATACCCAAGCTGCCCCTCCTTCAGAGAGATAGCAGCAATACCCAAGCTGCCCCTCCTTCAGAGAGATAGCAGCGATACCCAAGCTGCCCCTCCTTAAGAGAGATAGCAGCAATACCCAAGCTGCCCCTCCTTCAGAGAGATAGCAGCGATACCCAAGCTGCCCCTCCTTCAGAGAGATAGCAGCAATACCCAAGCTGCCCCTCCTTCAGAGAGATAGCAGCAATACCCAAGCTGCTCCTCCTTCAGAGAGATAGCAGCGATACCCAACCCTGCCCCTCCTTAAGAGAGATAGCAGCAATACCCAAGCTGCCCCTCCTTCAGAGAGATAGCAGCGATACCCAAGCTGCCCCTCCTTAAGAGAGATAGCAGCAATACCCAAGCTGCCCCTCCTTCAGAGAGATAGCAGCGATACCCAAGCTGCCCCTCCTTCAGAGAGATAGCAGCGATACCCAAGGCCGTAGACCTATGCTATGGGAAAGAGACAGTGAGAGGAGAAAAGGATGAACTGTCAAAGGTTGAATTCCTAAGCAAATTATTCCCCAACATAAATAAGTAAATACCCTAAAATATATAAATTATACAAAGACGGCACAATAGTCCGCCGTGCACAAAGGTACCAAACACCTGCGTTTACTCACATTAACCGAGGCCTCAGCTGTTAGCTCCTCTGTAGTCATTTATTAACTCTCTGAGGTCTAAGAGCTTTTTCTCACATTTTAGGCTCGCCTGGGCTTCATGAGAATCTAAGATATCATCATATGTAGGCTACAGGGATGTCACATGGATTACTACGATACTGTTACTACTAATACTACTACTACTACTGTTACTACTACTAATACTACTGTTACTACTACTGCTACTACTACTGTTACTACTACTGCTACTACTACTGTTACTACTACTACTGTTACTACTACTAATACTACTGTTACTACTACTGTTACTACTACTGTTACTACTACTAATACTACTGTTACTACTACTGTTACTACTACTACTGTTACTACTAATACTGTTACTACTACTACTACTGCTACTACTACTAATACTACTACTACTACTGTTACTACTACTACTAATACTACTGTTACTACTACTAATACTACTGTTACTACTACTACTAATACTACTGTTACTACTACTACTAATACTACTGTTACTACTAATACTAATACTACTGTTACTACTACTAATACTACTGCTACTACTACTGTTACTACTACTGTTACTACTACTACTACTACTACTGTTACTACTAATACTACTGTTACTACTACTACTACTAATACTACTGTTACTACTACTACTAATACTACTGCTACTACTGCTGTTACTACTACTGTTACTACTAATACTACTGCTACTACTACTGTTACTACTACTACTAATACTACTGCTACTACTACTGTTACTACTACTACTAATACTACTGTTACTACTAATACTACTGTTACTACTGCTACTACTACTGTTACTACTACTAATACTACTGTTACTACTACTAATACTACTGTTACTACTACTACTGCTACTACTACTGTTACTACTACTGTTACTACTACTAATACTACTGTTACTACTACTGTTACTACTGCTACTACTACTGTTACTACTACTACTGTTACTACTACTACTGCTACTACTACTGTTACTACTACTGTTACTACTACTAATACTACTGTTACTACTACTGTTACTACTACTAATACTACTGTTACTACTACTACTGTTACTACTACTAATGCTACTGTTACTACTACTGTTACTACTACTGTTACTACTACTACTAATACTACTACTACTACTACTACTGTTACTACTACTGTTACTACTACTAATACTACTGTTACTACTACTAATACTACTGTTACTACTACTACTGCTACTAATACTACTACTACTACTACTGTTACTACTACTAATACTACTGTTACTACTACTACTACTGTTACTACTACTGTTACTACTACTGCTACTACTGTTACTACTACTGCTACTAATACTACTACTACTACTGTTACTACTACTAATACTACTGTTACTACTACTACTAATACTACTGTTACTACTACTGCTACTACTACTGTTACTACTACTGTTACTACTACTAATACTACTATTACTACTACTACTAATACTACTGTTACTACTACTAATACTACTGTTACTACTACTACTGTTACTACTACTACTAATACTACTGTTACTACTACTAATACTACTGTTACTACTAATACTGC